TGTTGTGAAGAAAGTCTGTCATAACTCAAGAAAGAATAAAGGGGATGAGATTCGAGTGGATCGAATACCTTTCCGAAGGGCAATGGGAGGAGTCTTGATGGAGGATCCGGAGGAGAAGAGCCGACGGGAAAAGACGATGAGTCATCAAGAGGCAAAGTCGGAGGAGGTGCAGGCTGACGACGCTGGTATGTGAGGAGAGGACGATCTGCAAGTATGGAGGTAATTGGTTGCTCCTCTGGAATAGGGGCACCTGCAGCTGGTAAAGACAAGTCAAGAAAAGGAACAGGAAGGACCTGATCAACTTGTGACACTGGAGACGGAGTAGAGTGAAAAGGCTGCTGATCAAGGAAAGTGACATCAGCAGAAACGATATAACGCTTGAGATCAGGTGAATAGCAACGATACCCTTTTTGAAAACGGGTATACCCAAGGAAAATACATTTGAAGGCCTTGGATGTCAACTTGTCTTTACCTGGAGTAAGATCATGAACAAAACAAGTATAGCCAAAAATATGTAAAGGCAGAGGATAAGAAGGTGCTACTGAAAACAAAATACTGTGGGGAACATCATTATTTAGCACAGAAGAGGGCATGCGGTCCATAAGGAAACATGAGGTGATAATAGCATTTGCCCAAAAACGAAGTGGGACGTTCATATGAATGAGAAGAGTACGTGCAGTTTCAACTAGATGTCTATTTTTACGTTCAGCGACTCCATTTTGTTGTGGAGTGTGGGGACAAGTAGTCTGGTGTATCGTCCCATGTGTATCCAAAAATTTAGAAAATTCAAGAGACACATACTCTTTTGCATTATCACTGCGCAAGATTTGAATAGAAGCACCAAATTGAGTTTTTATTTCTGCACAAAACTTTTGATAAATTGAAAATAACTCAGAACGATTTTTCATTAAATAAACCCAAGTGCAACGGGAGAAATCATCAATAAAGGTTACAAAATACTGAAAACCCAAAACTGACATAGTCCGACTCGGACCCCAAATATCAGAATGAACAATAGAAAAGGGAGCAGCAGCTCTTTTATTGACTCTACTAGCAAAGGAAGAACGAGTATGCTTTCCCTGCTGACAAGACTGACAATTCAAAGACTTAAGACCTGACAAAAAAGGAACCATATGCTGAAGCTTCGAGAGACTTGGATGACCCAGACGGCTATGGAGAAGCTCAGGAGACTCTGTGAGAGAGCATGCAACTGGAGCAGAGGGTGCATGCAGATAGTAGAGACCTCGTGACTCACCGCCCGCTCCAATCGTCTTCCCCGTACTCGGATCCTGCTTAGAAAAAGACTGTTTAGAAAAGGTGATAGAGCAAGAAAGAGAATGGGTCAATTGACTAACAGAAATTAAATTAAAAGGAATGCCAGAGATGTAATAAACAGAGGTTAAAGTCAAGAAGGGAGTTGGTTTGGCTTGCCCAATGCCACGAGCAGCAGCCTTGGTGCCATCAGCAAGAGTAACAGAGGGAAGATTATTAGAAAAGGTAAGGGAAGTAAAAAGATCCTTATTACCACAAAGATGATCAGTAGCACCTGAGTCTATTATCCAGGGTCCAAGAGACGATTGAGAAAAATAAGCAACATGATTACCAGTATCTGGAGCAGGTGGCTGAGAAGAACTCTTCTGGAGAAGGGCCTCATAGTCTGCAGCGGAAATAGTCACTGATCCGGTAGAGGGCGGTACAACATCTGTTTGAGCAAAGTTCATATGTGGTGGCTTCAAGTGAGGGTACTTTCTATAACAACGTTCTTCAATGTGGCCCAGATATTGGCAATAATTACACCGAGGCCTTTGTCCTCGGCCACCCTGTCCATACGACATCGTCTGTCTGCGCCCGCCTGGGCCATATGAAGTCATGGGCCCGCGACCGCCTTGTCTGCGGCCACGACCACGACCGCGACCACCATTGTTCCAATTACCACGAGAGACTAAAGCAGCAGAATCAGACAAGAGAGCAGTAGAGTCAGTAGCTGTGACGTGTGCGGGAGCCACCTTATCTTGAAGATTCAGAAGGCGCTGAAAGGTCTGGGATATGCTGGGAATCGCAGTACTGGTTAGAATGTTCTCACAAACACTTTCTAATCCGTCAGGGAGACCAGAGAGAGTCACAACCGTAAAGAGACGCTCCACTTGCGTCCTGTACACTGTAGCATCCGCAACATGAGGTAACATAGCCAAAAATTCCTGCATCAAAGAACGAATCTTACCAACATAAACTTCCATACGAGCTTCGGGTGATTTGCGCAAATCCATCATCTGGGAGACAATGGAATAAAGTTGTTGAATATCATTGGTGGAGAGGTTTTTCACTTCCGTCCACACATCATAGCAGGTCTCAAAAGGAATGAAAATATTGAGAAGAGATGAATCAATGGATTGCCAAAGAATACTGAGGAGCTGAGCATCAACTTTCTCCCATTCAGTCATCTGATCTTGGGAAATATCAGTCTTCTTAGTGGTGAGATGTTTGTCATGGCCTTGACCGGTAAACCAGATCTTAACGGAGGTAGACCAGGTCTTGTAAGTGGCAGATCCGGTCAATTTCAGAGTTGTGATAAATGGAATAGCACTTGAAATGATGCCGGAAGAATGTTTACTGGTTCCTTCCATCAGGAACAGCGATCAGACAACCAAAAAACTGTAAAAATTACGCGAAAAAGGAACAAAGTAGCGACTTTTGCACTAGAAACCCTCGAACGGAAGAGACCCGCAACGATCGGTCACTGGATCTGGAAGGAGGAGGCAGAGGCGAGCCTGTCTGCCTTGGTTTGGTTGGAAAAGGTGGCCGGAACAGTGATGAACAGTGACGGAACAGTGTTTCTTGCGATGTGAACAGTGTTTTCTGGTCAAATAATGAAGGAGGATGACGATCTGAGATCGAAAAAGGGTCTAACAATGTTCGGAAGGTTGAAAAAGGTTGCCGGTATGATGCACGGCGGTAAAAAGGTTTGCCGGTATGATGCACGGCAGTACAACGAAAGGAATATATATGCGGAAGCAGAGCCCTCAGATCGAGAGCTCTGATACCAAATTGAATCTGAAATATATTGTATATTCAAGTGTGTAAGTCTGTACAAGGAGGCTCTCTATTTATAGAGACTAAAAAGACCTAATGGGATGACCTAATGGGCCAAGCCCACAATCTAGACTATTCTAGACTATTCTAATAATAATAAAATAATATTATTTCTAACATCAGCAATACAAGCCAATTTTTGTGGAAAAATTTATCTCTTACTCTGTGATATGTCTTGGTGTTTGAATGTTCGTAGCTTAAGCATAAGGTTCAAGACTTCTAATTTAAGATAAGCAACAATGATAAGTGATCTCCAACTGTGTAGTAATTTCTGGATCCTTGCTTTGATTGTATTGAAATGGTTGCAATTGTATTTGATCTAATATGGATTATTATGTTTGTTTGCTATGTCATCATGTCTTTAAATATTTCTTTGTTTGCATAATTCTGTATAAATTGCTTTTTTTATGGTGAATTGTGTTTTGCTTAGTTCCTGTGTTGTGAATGTTCTGGTTTTAAAATGTCTAGAAATTGTTTTTCTTCCTCCTGTAGGATATGATGTATACCTTGTTGGAGGTTGTGTACGGGATCTTATTTTAAAGCAAACACCAAAAGACTTTGATATTATAACTTCAGCTGGGCTTAAAGAGGTTACCTACTTCTATTTTATTTTTTATTTTTCGAATTATTTATGAAATGACCGTTTGCTGGACAATTCTAAATATCAAGCATTAAGTTTATTAAATATAACAGTTAGAAGGGAAACAAGTGTGTTTAATTGGAATTTATCTTTGCATAAAAAGTTAATTTATGCAATCTCAATCGAAAAGTTAATTTTCTATTTTGGTTTTGGTGTCTCTGGATATTAAGATTGCATGATAAAAAATGACTCAATTTTCAGGTTATGAGAATATTTTCATGGTGTGAGATAGTTGGCAAACGTTTCCCTATATGTCATGTTCACATGGATGGTACCATTGTTGAGGTTGGTATATTTCTATTAACTTTAAAGGATTTTAGCTTTGTTCTGAACTTTCTTTAGTAGAATGATTGCTTGAAACTTTTCCTATTAAGTGCTATCTCTTTTATTGCTGTTTGTCATGATAATTTTACCTCCCTCCCAATTAGGTTTCAAGTTTTAATACTCCTAGATACAACGTGGGTATTAAATTCTCTCATCATATGGAAGCACCTAATGGCTGTGACAAGAAGGACCATCTTCGATGGATGAATTGTTTAAACCGAGACTTTACAATTAATGGGTTGTGCACCAGTCCCTGCAACTTAAAAGATTGATTTATATTATTATTATTATTTTATTTTTATTTTTTTTTCCCGGGGCGGGGGTAGGGTGTTTGCATATGGCTACAACTGTCTCCTTTTTTACCTCTCCTCTTTATTTAAAATTTGAATTTACTTCAGTTTGTACAGCTCTTTATGCTGTTAACCAACTTCACACTTTTTCAGGTTGATGCTTGATCCATATGCTAAAATTACATACGATTACATGGGAGGAATAGAAGATATTAGAAAAGCTAAAGTGTGCATGTATCTCTTAAGTCTTAACAGTAATGGTTTCTTATATTACTTTTGCTAAGCAGTGATTTGAGGTTTTGTAACTTAATTTTCTGTATGAATAGGTGCGAACTGTAATTCCCGCAGATACTTCATTTCAGGAAGATTGTGGTTAGTTTCAGTTGATCGGTTACTTGACCCTGCTTTCCTATGTTTTGTGCAGTGTAAACTGCTTTAGAATGACCTACTCTTTGAATTACCTAGGTATGTCTGACTCCATTTTTTTTCTGCAGCTCGCATTCTTCGTGCAGTTAGAATTGCTGCTCGCTTAGGATTTAATATTTCAAAGGAAACAGCTCATTTTGTTAAAAAACTGTCTTCTTCAGTGTTAAGACTTGATGAGGTATTTAAAGTGTTCTCCCTGCTTATATACCAATATCCTGGTTGAGTTGTTTCTCTTCTTTAATTGTTTCAGGGTAGGCTCCTGATGGAAATGAATTATATGCTAGCTTACGGTTCTGGTGAAGCTTCTTTGAGGCTATTATGGAAATTTGGACTTCTAGATATACTTCTTCCCTTTCAGGTAGATGTTGATTTTGCATTAATTTCTAAATATCAATCATGGAATGTAAGTTTAATTTAGGTTCAATAGTACAGGCTGCATATTTTGCTCGCAGTGGATTTCAAAGACGGGACAAAAGAACCAATATGCTTCTGGTAATGCCTTACATCTTTGTGGAGTTTAGACTTCAAAGCTTGCAGGATTATATATTGACTTACCAGCATTAATTTAAGTGGAATAGCATACAAGAGATCAACTTTCCTAAGCTAACTCATTAACTTGTTTGTTATTCTGTCTATCAAGGTGTGCATTAAAAAATATAAACATGTACAAGTTTGGAAATTAATACAAGACCTTGCCTGATTTCACATAATCCTTGCATATGATATAAACTAGAATATGCAATATGTTGAGTTCCTTGGTTCCACTACCTAAGGACATAGAAATGTTTTTTTTTATCTATTTATTTAATTTAGCACAATTAGGAACTCATTCTTGTTTTAATCGTTTTAGGTTCTCAGCCATTAAAGTCTACGATGCATATACCTTGTTTTCGTGCAAGCTTTTCTTACTAGTCTCGTAAACATGAAAAAAATCTTTGAATTTCCAAGTGGTGAGTTCGGGGGTGTAAGTCTCAGACTTATCTAAGCAGAATAATATTTGTTACTTGGGTATTAAACCTTGGTAATTTCAAAGTGCATAGCATATTGGTACCATATTGACACATTGTATATTGGATCTTTTGGAATTTCATTGCAGTCTTTCTTCTCCAATTTGGATAAGCTTTTGGCACCTAATCGTCCATGTCATAGTAGCTTATGGTAAGATCATCTATGCAACAACAATGCCTTTACCTTCCTTGCTGTACTTTGTTAGACATATCTGATAAACATAATGTGTAATGCTATGTAGAAAGAAAATCCATAAGAATAATTGGCAGCAGAACTGCAGTTAAGTGTTCTTTGAAGATCATGCTATTGGGTGGTATATGTTTGAATACATGATTCAAAATTCCTGTTTCAGAGGAAATGCCTCATAAAGAACTTTTATTTCCTGATACATTTGTCATCAATTGAAGCCCATAATCTACTTCAATTTTCTTCTTTTATGAAGCAATTGAAGTTATATAATGATCCTTTTGCTATTAATTTGTTACATATTTTCAGTGCCTAAACTGCCATGGAATCCTATATAATAGATTTGCATATATCTATGCCCAATATTTATTTATTTTTGACTTCAATGGGGTCTAGAACTAGAACCTGGGAAAGCTCAGGGACTCGGGGGAATGGGAACAAGGGTTCTTTCATCTAAAAGGGGAGGGAGAGAGGGGGGAGAGGGGGGAGGCTCATTGTAGAACCTGAATGAGATAGGACCAAAGATCTCATAAACTCATCTGCCGAAGACAAGGGCTGTGACTGTTTGGGCAGAATGCAATGCCCACAGTCATCTATGCTAATCTTGTCTTAGGAGAAACTATAATCTGAATTCAGAACAGCCAAGAGCCCTGCACCAGTGTCCAGCAAACATCTATCAATCTATCATTATGAAATTTTTATATTTTCTTTGTAGCAAATTATTGGTTCTTCAAAATAAAAATAAAAAATCAATGATATTTTTGGAGCCTTTGTTTATCTAAATCCTTTGTTATTGGGTATGATTGAAATTGTCTTTTCTCAATTCTCTTAAATGTTAAGAATAGTTTCTAAACATTGTTTTTCTTCTATCCAAATTATTCCGAGTCTAAATGGAATGTGATGTAATTTATTTTACTATCAAATATACATGGTTTAGAGCACAGATATATTAACAAGCTGATTACAAGTTCGGTCAACAAAGCAAAATTTATCAGGAATCTGTTTTCAGGTTTGGTATCCTAGCATTGCATAAAACTTTGAGTGATCAAGCAAGGGACCCCTTGGTGGTTGCTGCATATAGCCTTGCAGTCCATAATGGTGGAAATTTGTGGGAAGCGGTAAACATAGCAGGGATGATCAACAAACCACATGATGTTAGATTTCCTGAATTATTAGATACTGCAGGTCTGGATGCAGAGGCATTGAAAGCTGAGATTCTAAATCTTGCAGAGTCTGTTAGAGGGACACTGTTGCAGATGACAAATGAGTATTTTGTTTCTCAGGCTATGACTGACTATCCTCAAGCCCCTCATTCAGATCTGGTGAGCATTTTTATGCATACTTCAGGACAATATGCAAAACACATAGGGAATGGCAGACACATTTCTGTCAAAACATGCAGAGAGAGAGAGTGAGAAAATGTTTGCAGCCTTTGAATTTTTTCTAATTTACATCATATTTCATGCAAACAAGGAAGATTCCTTGCTAGTCTGTATCTTTTTAATAAGTAACTTGCTTAAACCATTGCCATGCCAGGGATTTTTTCAAGTTCATGGGCTGAAGTAAGAGAATGAAACATAATATATATATATATATATATATATATATATATATATATATATATATATAGTTTTTAAAGTTTCTAAAGTTACTTTAGATAACTCTATCTAATGTTCACCAAAATACACACAAAAAATTATGTGGGGTTCATATAGACCCATGTAAAGAGAAGAGAGAGAAAAAGAAAACATGGTCTCACACACTTTTTTGTGTGTATTTTGGTAAAATTAGATGAAGCTATCTAAAGTAACTTTAGGTATATATATATATATATATATATATATATATATATATATATATATATATAGGGGCATGATCAACTTATACCGATGTAAGAATAATAAGTCTTATATCAAATATTAGCCGTTGATTTCCATGCATCTAACGGTTGTAAACTTGTAATTTAACACTCATTAATTAATTATTAATTTCCAATAAATTACAACCATTAGATGCACGGAAATTAACAGTTAAGATTTGGTGTAAGACTTATTATTTTCACATCGGTGTAAGTTGATCTTATCCCATATATATATATATAGGCAAAATGATTTCTACAGCTGCTGTACCTACAGCAAGCTAGGATCCGCGTCCGGATCCTAGGATCCGCTGCCGGATCCTGTTTTGTTTTGTTTTTTTTTTTTAAAAAAAACGGTGGGGCCCACTTTTCTGTGTCAGCTGCAGATAGCGTTGTCTACGGCTGCTGCAGAAATGTTAAGCCCATATATATATATATATATATATATATATATTAGTTGACGTAAAGTATTCATTTCATTGAGATAGTTAGAAATTGAGTTGTGGTTACCTGGAATATTAACTTATCTTTTTGAAATTTATGGATTCTTTGTCTGATGATTGATGATGTTAGTAGAGAGTTAAAATTGCCAAATCAACCAGATGTTTGAAATATGATTTTTTTAGTTGTTTAGCAGTCCGGGTCTTCTATGTAAGCATGCAAACATTATGTATGGTTCAATGCATTCTGATTAACATGATTTATTTGTGGGATTCTTGCATATTTTAGTTTGTACACTATAAGGTCTCGGTTTTTCTCTAATGCAATTTGACGTTATAGATTCAATTACTGTGCCATGTTGTTTTGACTGATTAAGTGTTAGAGTATGCAAGAATTTTTTTTTATGTGTTCCTACTCTTATCAATTTTACAGGTATTCATCCCATTAGGATTATACCTACAAACATTCAGCATTTTCGAATGCGTAAAAGTAAGTGCTGATAAGAAATTTTTGTCAAAGCAAGACAGAAAAGTTGATTACGAGTCCTTAGCTCATGGTAAGCTGCAAGAGATACGACATGTTTTTGCAAGGATTGTATTTGATACCGTATACCCACTTCACCTAGATCAAGATCAGTCATTAAAGAGTAACTGGATTTCACAGGGAGACTAGTTTGAAGTCTTTATTTGAATTCACGTGAGAAAAATGATGCTGAAATCCGCATTCTCTCAAGTGGAATAATCTGATAAAAATTGGAATAGTTTGGTGAAAGGTCTAATTCCTTCTCTCCGGGCCTTTCATGATATACTTCTTCTTTTTGGGTTTGGTGGTGGTGGGGAGTTTGTACTGTTACGCATTTTTGTTAAAGAATAGGTTTTTGTTGAGGGGGCGAGTTCTGCCTCTGTATAAAGAATAATTCTTTCATCAATATCTAGTTAGCTTAATCTCATGGTATGCTGATAACGGTCATCTGCTAAGCCTAACGTTAAATGTTATGTATGTAGCAATTTCAAATGCCCACGTCATGAAATTGCCCAAGGGTGCATTGCTGTAATACAAGAAGGAAAAACGAGTTCTCCTTTGTTAATGAATGACACACTGGGATTCTGAATGTTCCAAACCACAAAGATGTTTGGATATTAGCTTAACCTTATAATATTAATCTTCAGTTACGGCCAGTTGTCATTAGAAGAAATTTCTTTTACTTGTGAGTGTTCCTTACATTAGCATCTTCAAGCTGCAAATTGCAAAATATTGAGAGCGTCAGCCCAGCCTATTCAACAACATCAACATCAACAACACCTTTATCCCAAATTAATTGAGGTTGGTGGTAGATGAACCCATATGAAAGATACAAAACGGTTGAAAAAAAGTAAAAAAAAATAAAAAATAAAAAATAAATAAATAAAAATACACAAATAAAATAATACAATAAAATAAAATGAAATAAAAATATATGTATATATAAATAAATAAAAGTAAAAAAGAAAGGGACAAGAAGAAGTGGGGGAAATGAAGGGGAAAAGGACTAAAAAAGGACCATCTGGAACATAGGAATAACAGCGGGTCTAACCCTCCACCATACTTATAGCTTTTCTCCATTCCTTTCTAAGACATACTGTCCGCCAATCTATATCCCACTCCATTAAATCTTGTTTTACTACTTTCCCCCAAGTAAGCTTCGGCCTACCTCTGCCTCTTTTTGTGTTTAGCTCTTGGTAACAAACTTCTGTTCTTACAGGAGCATCCATGGGTCTTCTCATCACGTGCCCAAACCACCTCAATCTATGTTCTCTCATCTTCTCGGCTACCGGTACTACTCCGACCTTTCGTCGAATATCTTCATTTCTTATCTTATCCATCCATGTGTACCCACACATCCACCTTAACATCCTCATCTCTGCTACTCCCATCTTATGCTCATGTTGCCTATGTGCTGGCCAGCATTCCGCTCCATATAGCATTGCCGGTCGTACTGCCGTTTTATAGAATTTTCCTTTTAACTTCAGGGGAATTTTGCGGTCACACAAAAATGCAGATGCACTACGCCATTTCATCCACCCTGCTCTGATTCTGTGATTTACATCCTCATCAATCTCTCCACCATTTTGTAAAATGGAGCCCAAGTATTTAAAAGCATTTTTTTTGGGTACCTCTTGACCATTTAGATGCACAGGTTCTTGGTCCTCATCTTGTACCAGAGAAAACTCACACTTCAGATACTCAGTCTTGCTTCGACTTAATGTGAATCCTCTGGATTCCAATGCGCTTCTCCACAATTCAAGTTTTCTATTAACACCCTCCTTGCTCTCATCAATAAGCACAATATCGTCTGCAAAAAGCATACACCATGACACTTCCTCTTGAATATCTTTTGTTAGTTCATCCATAACTAAGGCAAATAGGTAAGGACTTAGAGCCGACCCTTGGTGTACACCTACCGTGATAGGAAAATAACTTGATGATCCGTTACAAGCTTTTACACATGTAGTAGCCCCATCATACATATCCTTGATTGCCTTTACATACTTTAATGGAACCTTTTTCTTCTCCAGGACCCACCATAAAACTTTCCTTGGAACCCTATCGTATGCTTTCTCAAGGTCTATGAACACCATATTCAAGTCCTTCTTCTTTTCTCGGTATCTTTCCATTAGTTGTCGCATCAAGAAAATGGCTTCTATGGTACATCTTCCTGGCATAAATCCAAATTGATTTACAGAAACCTTGGTATCTCTCCTCAAGCGATGTTCAATAACCCTCTCCCACAGCTTCATAGTATGACTCATTAGCTTAATGCCTCTATAGTTTGAACAATTCTGTATATCTCCCTTGTTTTTGTAGATAGGCACAATCATACTTTTCCTCCATACATCAGGCATCTTATTCGTCTGGAGAATCTTATTAAAAAGATTGGTCAACCATTTTATTGCCACATCCCCCAGGCCTCTCCACACTTCAATAGGGACACCATCAGGCCCCAAGGCTTTATTAGTCTTCATCCTCTTTAAAGCCTCCTTAACTTCATGTGTATTAATTCTGCGTACAAATCTTCTATTCATATCATCATACGCGTCCTCTAAGTCCACCTCGCTTGTATTTCCATCCCCATTAAACAGCTTGTTGAAGTATTTCAACCATCTTTCATTTACATCTTCATCTCTCACCAGAAGTTTTTGATTTTCATCCTTGATGCATCTAACTTGAGTGAGGTCTTTACTTTTCTTATCCCTTATCCTTGCAAGTTTATAAATACCTCTTTCACCATCCTTGCTCCCAAGACTTTTATACAACTCGTCGAAAACCTTGCCTCTCGCTTCTCGCACTGCTTTCTTTGCATTTTTTCTCGCCAATCTAAACTTTTGCAGGTTCTCTTCATTGGGACTTTTATGCAAAGATCTAAAGCACTCCTTCTTATGTTTAATTGCCTCTTGCACCTCTCCATTCCACCACCATGTTTCCTTTGTATGAAATCCATTTCCTTTGCTTTCTCCCAACACCATCCTTCCCAAATTTTGAATACACTTAGCCATCTCATTCCATATTGCATTTACTCCTCCATCAAACTCCCAAGGTCCTTCGTGCAACATTCTATCATTGAACTCTCTCTCTTTTCCCTCCTTAAGCTTCCACCACCTTATCCTTGGATTCTGAACCCTCTTCTTCATTGTACGTACTTTGTTGAACCGAACATCCAAGACTACCAGCTTATGTTGCGTAGCAACACACTCTCCAGGGTAGACCTTACATTTTAAAAAAAATTTCACGTAATTAACTTGAATTCAAAATTTTGGAATATCATCTCCTAATATTGTGCTACCTATAAATAATTATCATAAGTCATCTTTTGCATAAGTTAGAGATTATAAAAATTATAGAACATTTAAATTAGTGGGTGTGAGAACTCAAGTCAGTGATGCTTTACCTGCATTTGTAATTGATAAAGTCCACATCATTGTTGATGGCCGCCATCCACTTCTGGCACTGGGTGCAAGCCGACAAAGCCAATTCCCACATAACCAACTTGCATTCAAGGACCCAACAAATAAATGCCACCTAAGCTTTAGATAGGCTCTGCCTCTGACATTCTCTAGAACAATGTGCACCACTTGTTCATTCCCATCTCTTATAACCCAACGGCTAAAACTCAATACTGTTCCTTTTTGTCGGACATGGCTAGCCTCTCAAACAAAGCACTACCTAGTTTATTACCAGTTAACACTCGTAATATCAATTGCCTTGGACAAAATCACAAAATATTAGACACTTGACTCATAAACATAATCTCTAACTCTCTATCCTTTAGCCTGATTCTTACCTGAGCTTCAATGGCCTCTATTTCAGCCACTTCTCTTAGATTCAAATCCTCTCTAAAGCTGCCTAGCTATACCAGCCAGGTTCAAAATAGAAGCATGTTATTTCTCTTCTTATTTATTTATCTCTGAACTATAAGTTTTAATGTTTGGACTATGCCATTATGTAATAGTTTTAGGTGCAATGTGCTCCATGATTAGATTGTGACACTGACTAAGAGTCTAACCTTTGGAAGAATATATCAACTTTTGCTGAAATGAGTGTTTTGACATAAGTGAATGCATTGAATGTTGCTGAAATGAGTGTTTTGGCATAAGTGAATGCATTGAATGATTCAATGAAAGCTTCATTATTAAAGTATATTTGTCAAATTTTGCCAAATATATCCTGTTGAGGTGAATTGGTGAAAAACAGCAAGCACACCCTTAGGTAAAGTGTGCTCCAGATTATATGATAGCTACACCTTAGAATAATTTTCTGAATCTTTTTTTGGATAGGGCTGATAGCAGAAGATATTGCTCTAACTATGAAGGGCAATGGCTAAGAAATAATAAATAAAGACAGTCAATTTTGTCAGGGGAAAGTGGATTGAAAAATGATAAGATATGGTAACCTTGTACATAACATTATAAAAGATTCAGTAATATTACTTAGATAGACACTATCAATCAATATTTTTAAACCACTTTAAAATTCTTAATTTTGATGTTCCATAGGTAACACAATCGTTCAGTTTATTATGTTGAACTCTACTTTTGATGAAATAACTAAGTAGTAAAAAGATTGTTGGGATGTTTAAAACATGCAGGCTTCTTCCAAAATTTCAAGTTTGAGGACAGTTTCTGTGGGATGGACCAGAAGGAGTTTATCTTCTTTGAGAACCTCCAGCTTCAGCATCTCTTGTGCAGTAAGTTTGATTTTTAGCTACGTAATTCCCCCCCCCCCCCCCCCCCCCCCCCCCCCTCAAAATTTGCATGGAACAAAATATAAGTTAAAATTTTGATACATGTAAATTTGCAATGATCCAGGCACAACCTGAGACAGTGCAGAAAGTTTGCGAGGTTGTTAGAAAACAACTTGCTCTGGCACCTGAATCTGAGCTTACCCCAGAAACCAAGTTTTCAGCACTTGGTGCTGATTCCCTTGACACAGTAAGATTCAAATTGTCAGCATGCATTTTTAAGTTTAATTAATATGTTCCTCTTAGCAAGTAACAAAGCATAAGATTGGACACTCACAAATGCTTTTATTCAGATATTAAGATATGCGTTGTTTATGCTAGTTAAGTTTTAGTTGATCAACTTTGATTTGGACATATGATTGTGTTAGGTGGAAATAGTCATGAGTTTGGAGGAAGAATTTGGCATTAATGTTGAGGAGGAGAACTCTGAATCGATAACAACAGTCCAAGAAGCAGCTGATTTAATAGAGAAACTGGTTCAAAAGAAAGGTGGAGATTAAGAGGTGAACTTGAGTGTAAACTCAAGGGAATTGAACATGCATTTCTGAAGTGAGAGTAGAAGTAAAAATGAATGAGGTTAATCATTTAACCAAGTTACTTGACCTAGATTTTGTATCTTCAAATGCTACTTAGGAAACAGTTTAGCTTTTTTCCATTGTGATATTGTTTATCTTACTGTTCCTATTTGTTGTTGTTTTTTTTTTCCGGAAGATATGTATCCCATTTGCTTTTGTAGGGAAAGACCTAAAGTAAAGTTTATTCTATTTGTCTAATTTTATTGGTCAAGTTTACAATAGAGTGGTGGAGTGGGAATGAAGTGGTGACTAATTTTGCTATATATATATATATATATATATATATATATATATATATATATATATATTTAGAGATATTCCAATCGGTTCATCGCTTCGCTATTAGTCCAATTCAGGGCGGGTTCAGGGACAAAGGCTTTAAATCCCTCCCAAAGATGATATAGGAGGATCGAACACATGCTCTTATCCCCACCTGCTCAATTCCCTGACGTCAATTGAGCTACCATCATTTGATCAAATTTTGCATATTAAAATAGGGGAATATGTCCCTCCTATAATCGAGAGAGACATTTTGTCTCCCACGGATACATCGAAAAATATGCCATGTCTTTTTTTTTTTTTTAAATAATGGGTCCCACATCAAAATATCTCTACAGGAGACAAAATTCTATTGCCCATTAAAATATTACATTGTGGTTGATGTTTTTGTTGGCGAGATCAATATTTGCCATAAGGTTCGTTCGATGTGGCTAAGAGTTGGATCAAATTATGATTAATAGCTATGGATTTGGATCATCTCATGTAAAAAAATAGTCATGTAATTATGTTATTTGATCACAATTACTAATTAATAATGGTATCAGAGCTAATGTCATAGATTTAAACTCTAGAATAATCCTGGTGTAGGTCGACGTCAGATTGACTCATGATGTTTGAGTTGTAGGGATAAGGATAAATAAAAAAAGTTAGGCGCTAACCAACTGCTCTTTGACTCATTTGGGGTTTTTACCCCTTTAATTTTTCAATCTGATATTTGATTTACAGTATTTACTAATGAATGAAGATTGTTCAGTGATGCAAGGGGGACCCAACGGCACTGAGTGCCGCGTCCCTCCCCCCGCATCACTGACACATTTTTTTTTTCAATTGAGTGACGCGCCTCCTCTTGGGCACTCATAAGATTGTGCCAGGTGGCACAATCTCGTTAGTCCCGTTACCGTAAAACTTCGAAAAGTCATAACTTTTGACTCAGGTATCCAAATCAGATGATTTTTTTTATTTCTCATAACTTTTCGAGATCTACGCAACGACATCTCGTTTGTCATATTTTATCACTCACAAACATAGTTTGAATTTGTAAAAATGTGGAACTATTGTTGCAAATTTGAACTATGTTAATGGAAGATAAAATATGTCAAATGAAGTGTCATTGCATAGATCTCAAAAAGTTATGTGAAATAAAAAAAAATCATCTTATTTGAATACCTGAGTCAAGAGTTATGGCCTTTCGAAATTTTATGATAACAGGACTAACGAAATTGTGCCACTTAGCACAATTTTATGAGTGCCCCAAGGGAGGAAAATAAATTCTGTAGTCGCTCTCTCTCTCCTCCTTCTTCCTCTCTCTCCTCTCTCCTCCCCTTTCTCTCTATGAGGGACCAATGGTCCTAGACCACTACATATCTGCTCCCAAGGAAAGTGGGCGTCACTCAATTAAGAAAAAGAAAAAGGAATGTGTTAATGAAGCAGGAGAGGGTCGTGACACTCAACGATGCTGGGTATCGCTTGCATCACTAAACGACCCCATTGATAAATAACTAAAATTAAATACTAAATTGGTATACTAAAACCTCAAAAACAAACTCTCAATGGATCAAAGAGCCCCTAACTAACCGTTATAACTTTTATGATAATAGTAAGCGTTCTGTCGATTAGTTTTCATCCCTTTAAAGAAATCATTTGGTTGCATTGGGTGTCCATCCATTCACCTTGCGTTTTAATCATGGTGCTTGGAGTCTACTACTGGATGGTGGTGGTGTATCAAAAAGTTAAAGTTATGCCTTGATTAATACGTATAGCTTGATTCAGATGATTGGTATTGTAGTAGATCTTGAGTTATAACTACAAGAGCGTAGTTGGAGAGATTTTCGGCAGATCGAAGAATTATCGTGTTTATCGGTTTTCCTTGTGTTCATGTCATGGTACTTGATTTTTTTCTTTTATCATCTACTTGGCATTAGGTTATAATGTTTTTTTAACCTAATAGCAAGTGTTTGATCAGATAATAATTATATATGAAAATATAAAAAAAAATTAATTAATTTATTTGAATCAATTAATAAATCATGCAATTTAGTTCTTCAAGTTTCAAATATATATTATGGGTTAATCTTTTCTTTGTTACATGACAGAAAAAAAAAATTCGATACATGTACGAGAAAAATCTTCTATCGTAACTAATGAGAAAAGATTAACCGATACATTATACACTTGGCTTAGAATCTGTTTGGATGAACTTTTTTTCTTTAAAAATTGTTTTTTTTAAGAAAAAAAAAGCACTCTTCGAAAAAAGTATGTTTGGATGTCTGCTTTTAAAAAAAACATAAGTTATAAAAAAGTCAAAAACCTATTTTTTTCGGAAGCTAAAAATTTTAGCTTTTAAAAAAAACAGAAGTCAAAAGCCAAATATTTTTTTAAAAATCAAATATTTTTTTAAAAATCAAATATTTATTTTAAAATCTAAATAGCTGTAACTTTTATAAAAGGTACTTTTAAAATAAAAAAATAATAAAGAAGACTTTCTTAAAATGCCAATACAAACAAGCTCTTAGCTTTTAAAAACGAAACACAGCTTGTGTTTTTCACCGAAGAGACATGAACATTATCATGATGATGTATCTGGAATTTGTCTTCTACTCGTAAGGAAACACAATAATGTGAGAGATTGATTGTTTTCGGGAAACTCCTAGAAAGGGAAAAGTAGGGAGATATTATAATATGAGTAATAAAGTGGAGAAAACAAAGCACTGAAAAAAGTTGTGTTTTTTTGTTGTGAATTATTTATAAAACAAAATGACTATATGAGTGTCATACGACCTTTCACCATCCAAAAGCTTCAAAGATTATATGGCATAGAATTAGACAGTTATTATAGGAATAATACAATTTAATTCATAAAAAAAATAAAAATAAAAAATCTCACAAGTTCAATCCTAGTTGGAGGCTAATTCCTTTCAACATCATTAATTTGAATTAAATTGAAGTGTTTCCTTTCTATGTCTCCTCTCATTCAAAATGGGAAACTTTTTCATCAGCGGATCCGAGAACAGTTAAATCATGCTCCAGAGTTTCGACTTCACCTTATACGACACCGTTTCTCACGCCGCCAAAACAAATGTCCTTCTCTAATCAAATCTAATATGTATGCTACAAGAAAATAAAAGTAAAAAATGAGACACGTATTCTTCTCTCCCGCGAACCCATCACAAAGAAGCGGCGTCGTTTTGTCCTACACACCCGCGCACGGTTCGAACATAACAAACTTTCCGAATCCCAACTTTCCTTCGATTTTCTCGAGAAAATCTAGCTCCGACAAAATCTAACTGAGTCTCTGCAAGTCTTCTATATACATTAGCTTAGACTCATGGATCGAAGGAGAAACGCGAGTCCGGTGTACACACGTCAGTGGAGCGGCGGTTCAAGCAGCACCGGCTCGTCGTCGCCGGCGATGTCGCCGGCTCATCCTCAGTCGAGGCTAGGTCCTTCTTCCACCGGCCTCTCCACCATCAGGCGCACTCAAAACGTGGCCGCCAAAGCCGCCGCGCAGCGCCTGGCTCGCGTCATGGCGTCTCAGACCGTCTCCGATGACGGCGAGGAAGACGATGATCTCGGGTTCCGGTTCAGCGCTCCGCCTCCAGCCGCTCTTTCTTCTTTCTCGAGCAACGTCAATAGTAACAAGAGTACCGGTGCTAGTGCCACCACCGTCCCTCCGATTACGGTGGCGAGGCCTAATAGATCTCCTTCTCCTGCGGTAATTCTCGTCGCAATTGTTCCCTATTCCTCCGTTTACGTGATTATGTGCATGGATTCGTTTGCTCAATTGTGGAAAAACCGAAGATGATGCGTCTTTGATTGTTTTTTAACTTAGTAATGTTCTGTTGGTACATGATTATTAATTCGATGCCATCAATAGAGATTGAGTGAGATCTAAGTTTTGGATTGCTACTTTTGTTGCAAGAAAATGGATTTTATTCAATTGGTGTCTCCAAGTTCTTGTTGAGCTAATAAGATTTTGATATTTTTATTAGTTAGGTCGGAACTTTGTAGAGCATACTACTCATGCAGTGCGTTCAACATCAGCTGGAAGACCGGCAGTTTCAGTTCGCTCAACACAAGTGGTGCCACCCAACAAATCAATGCTCCGAACGCCTATGGCTGTACCTCCAATTGATCCTCCTACCAATCGGAGTAGAGAGAAAAGGTGGTACGCACTTTCCCTCCAGCCCCTTAATTGTTATGATTTTGCAGCTATGACAATTGACTAGTACGTTTTTATGTCTTCTAGCTCTTCCAGGGTGACCCAATAATACTGTAAAGCTGAATTATCAATAAATTTAAAAGAACTAGACATCTCAAACATATTTTATTTTGTAATACTACTTCATTGACTTGTTCTAACGGCTCCAACTCCCTCTAACGACTGAATGTCCTAAGTTTCTATAATAATATATATGGCTTTTGTAGGATTTTGGTGGTATAATCTCAACAATTCAAAAATTACCCTAAAAGATAGGAAGTTGTTATAAGTGGGTAGTTATTTGAAGTTTCAAAATACTCTATTATCTAAATGAAAATAAATATAATAAAGTGGATTTACATGCATGTGAGTGGGTGTCAAGACATCAGTCAAGTTCAATGCCTGTTTCCCTCAAAATCATCATTATTTTATTTATTTAGGACAAATTTAAGATGAATAATATTTTCTCTGCCTGCCCCATATTTTCTGATGAGCTTTATACTGAGGTTGAATACATGGGTTCTAGTTTTGGTTTGGCCAATTTTTACCTCTTCACATGCGTGTAATTGGTTCTTTTGGATGTATGAATGAGCTCAATCCTTAATTTATTTATTGAGGTTAAATATCTATCTATATCTTTGTGTGTGTATGCGGAATGCATTGATAGGCTAACAAACTCTAGTTTACTGGCCATTTAGGTAATATTGATTACTCACTCTTTGAATCTTAATCATTGGTTACTGATTTCAGGTTTCCACCAGATATCCCTATCGGGCAACTTAACTCAAAAGAAACAGGAGATCAGCGTGAAGCTTCTGCACTGCGTGATGAAGTATAGTATTTATATGCATCAGTTTCTGTCTCCAAAAACTAAATTTAATGACCCTTATATTGGCTATGCTAATTCTTAGCTTTATTTAAGTAGATTTTGTATTGCAATTTTTAAATGATGAGTTTTGAAACTGATTCATATTGATATTGCAGCTCGATATGCTACAAGAAGAGAATGAGATTATATTAGAAAAGGTGTGCTCATTCACACCCAAAATAAGTTGGCCTTTTGCGCATGTTATTTGATGTTGAACATATATGCCTGATTATATTCACAGCTAAGACAAGCAGAGGAAAAACGCCAAGAAGTGGAGGCCAGATCTAGGGAACTTGAGAAACAGGTGATTTTTTTGCTAGATATTAACTGAACTTTGAAACCTAACCAAAGTAGTTTTAATACCATAGTTTAGATACCATGCTTTGAATAACTACTATTCATAGCTGTCTCTAACCATATTAAGAACTACTTAACAATAGAAGTGTTAGGCAGGAGGAGAATAAACAGGATAGAATTTGCAGGGTATATTCCAGGAAAAATAAAGGAAGAATAAGCTGTAATAAAGGAGAAATAAATGTAGTTAGTTAATTAGTTAGCAGATGATATTTTGGCAGTTAGATGGTTTGGTAGTTTAATAAGGGGGGAACACTGTAAAGGCATCTTTGAGACATTCTCAATGGAGAAGGGAGTACTCCCTTGTGAAGAGGATTATCCCTCGTGTCATAGAGGTGGCAAAGCGGGCAATCCGCCCCGTCCCAAAATGAGCCAACCCACCCTACCCCCTTTTTAAAAGTGGGTTGAAAATCTCAAACCACCCCTTTTTTGGCGGGTTGTCAAGTTGTCAGGTCAACCCGTTTATATATTGAATTTGGCAAAAAATGCAGAAAACTTGTGTTGCTCAGAGAAGTAAAGGGTATCAAATGAAGACCAAATAGCTATAAAAGGGTCAATGACTAATGTTTTATTAAAAAAAAATTGACTGCGGCGAGTTCAATCTTGTTTTGACCTGCACTTATGTGGAGCGGCTTAAATGGATTGGCAGGTTGGGAGTCCTAGCCCAATCCCCCATATGTGGCAGGTTAGACGGGCCAACCCAACAGGTTGGACCCGTTTTGCCATCTATATGTAATACCTCTGTTATTGTAATTATAAAATAGTATTCTTTTTTCGCATTACCCTCTGTCTCTCCATTTTCAATTCACTCCCATTCTTTTCACAATCTTTCATTAGCCTCACTCGAGGACCTAACAACAAGTTACTTTGTACCTATAGCTGTCATTCCATATGCTGAGTTTGCTGATATTTGTATCCTTGTTCATTTTGATTTTGACAGGTTGCTTCTCTTGGTGAAGGTGTATCCCTGGAAGCTAAACTGCTGAGCAGGTAAACTAGCTTTAAATTCCTTTATATGCTGGCTGGAACTATTTATTTTCTTTAGTTTTTAGGTTATGGTTTTTGTGTTGTATCTTTGCAGGAAAGAAGCTGCTTTGCGTCAAAGAGAGGTATGCTGGAAGGATGTATATTAGATGTGGTAGAAATATGAAATTAATGATGGTTGGAAGTTTGAAGTTGATCATCCTTGCTTGATAATTCACTATAATAGCTCTTGTAAGTTTTAATCTAAAAAATGTTTACTGTATTCTTGAGAAGAATGCATATGTAAATGGGCATATTTGTGTAAATATGTGCATATTTGTGTAAATATGTGCATATTTGTGTAAATGGGCGTGAATCAGAGGCAGCCACGGAGCTGGTTCTATAATCATAACTTGATTTTTTTTATTTTTTTTTTATTTTTTACCTAAAGCTCTGTTTCCAGTTACAGTTTTCTTCTTGAATTGTGGGTTTTGAGCAACAAAGCTCATCAATGCTGGTTCTTTCAAAAAGTGTCCGTGGAATACTCAATGTTTTTGTCACAGGCTGCTCTCAAGGCTGCAAAACAAACACAAGATGGGAGAGATGAGGATATCACAGCCCTTCGTGTGGAAATTCAGGTAATTCTGAAGAAAGCATGCATTTTTTTTCATTTTATAATTGTACCATATACCTGGTCTGTTCAATTATTCTCTGGTATAAGTTATAGCTATATTCTTTGTATTTGTCAGAACCTAAAAGATGATGCTGCAGCAGCTGTGGAACAACAGCAAGAAGCTGAAGCTGAAGCAAAGGCCCTTCGGACGATGACACAGAGAATGATTTTGACCCAAGAAGAAATGGTTTGTGTTTTCTATTAAAATGAGAATTAACAGGTATCTATTTTCCATCTGTCTCAACTCATCTTTTTATCTGTCTTTTAGGAGGAAGTTGTCCTGAAGAGATGTTGGCTTGCCCGCTACTGGGGTCTTGCTGTAAAACATGGTAATAAAGTCGCTACTGCTCTCGACTTTCTGCAGAAAAGAAAATTTTCCAATCTTTAATTAATCTTTTCCCCCCTTTGTATGACCTGCAAAAATTTGAGAAGTATGTATTTCAAAAGTCCACTCTTCTATTGACATGATTCATGAGTGCTTATAATTCTTGTGGCATTTTACTTCCATTCTTTTTAGGCATATGTGCAGATATAGCACAATCCAAGTATGAACATTGGTCTTCTCTAGCTCCTCTTCCTTTCGAGGTTGTCATTTCTGCTGGACAAAAGGCTAAGGAGGAATCTTGGAACAAAAGTGAGTGTGAGTTGATACTCGAAATTTAGTTTGAATTATTTATCTCTTAAATTATTTGCAGTAACATCTAATTCAAGAGCATGGACCAGGTGCTGATGGTCCAGATAGAAGCAAACTTGTTCGAGATTTGAATGATCTCACTGGGGAAGGAAACATTGAGAGTATGCTTTCAGTTGAGATGGGTTTGAGGGAACTTGCTTCTTTAAAGGTTCTCCATGAATGTTATTGAAGTTAATGCTTTGTTTGTTGAGTTCTTTATCATGTTCTACGCTTTGACATTTTAGATTCAAGCTATTATATGTATGAGTTTGGTTGAAATTTGACTTCTTTTCTATCTTTCCAGTTGTTCCATATTCTGTTCATTCTTTTCCTTTCGTATTGAATTTAAAAATGTATTTGATAGACCCATAGCATATGTTTATGCTAGAAAAAAGAAAATGGGCTGAAAAATAGTGGGCTGAATAAGAGTGATGGGGTGTGTGTGTATGAAAGGAGGTGCAAGAGAGGAATTGGAGAAAATGGGGAAGAACAGAGAGTAATAGGAAAGGGGTTGGGAGCTAGAGCGACAGTCATCTCTTTATTGTTTTCTGCAACTTTTCCTTATTTATGTGTTGTTGTTTGTGCTCTGTACAGAGGGCTACCTCTGATGTTAAGGAGCTAGTCTCCTCCACAGACAATGTTCTATAGTAAATTTTAGTTCCTATCAATATTTTGATAAAATTCTTATTTTATAGGTTGAGGATGCTGTTGCGCTTGCATTAGCCAAACACAGACGTCCAAATTTGGTTCGGCAGTCCATTTTAGGTATGTTAATTTATTATCTGGTGTCCTTTTATAATCTTAGTTTTCTACTTCTCCTTGTTAAACAATTTGGTTATTCTTGATTCTTCCATTTGATGTGTGACATATGTCTATATTCTATCTGCAGTTATTTCAGTTCTTACCATATAAATAGAGTTGTTTCCTTTCCCCTTCTGATTCAGTTTTTGGTTAATTCAGGCAGTATCTTAGTTTTATGATTTGTCATATTTGGATGCCCTTTTGGTATGAGAGTTCTGTTTAAGTTAGTTTTGATTCATCTGCACATTTTTGATTAATGTTCTCAAAACTTTTATCAATCTGGTACTCTTCCAAAGCAGACAGTTTAGTAGATGATTTGAATTATAATGTTCACATTTTTATTCATTTATTTACAGATTCCAAATCGCCTGGTGATGCCAAATATTTAGAAACATTTGGTAAGAATTAAGTTGTCAGCTTTTGTTTTAGTGTTTAATTTGATGTGCTTTATCTATTTTAAGTTTTGGTAAGAAATAAGTTTTCAGCTATTACTTTGGTGCTTAATTTGATTTGCTTCAGTGATGTTAAGTTTGTGAAGATACAAACCCCTACGGAATAAGAGTCTAGGCTGTACATTTGCCTTATAGGATTTCTCTGCTTGTCCTCTCCTGTTAATATGATGCTTTAATATTTTTTCTATCATTTCTCTATATTTTTCTTCTTTTGGAGAGGGGAAGTTCAGATTGACTTTGGCCAATATACCTGAGTTTTATGCATGGTTTGATTGGATACGCATGTGATCTGTTTAGGAGGATGATGGCACATCTATAACGTAAAATGCATGGTACCTAGTCGTTTGTTACCCTCATCACTATCTGTGAGAAATACAAAATCACCCTTGCCTTCTACAAACGTAAAGGAATAAGACATTTTGGTGCATAGCTCGAAATACGTGAAAAAGCTTACTTGGCAATACTATATGTGACAACTGACATTCATGACCTTTGATTGAAGTGTATAAATCCTATTGATTATAAGTATAAGGCCAATTATGTGGCTGCAGTTAGCCATTCTTCATTTGTTAATGGAAATGTGTCTGGCAGATGACCTGATTACTGTTCTTTGTTTCCTCCAGAATTAAGTGAAGAGGAAGCGGAAGATGTCCTTTTCAAAGAGGTTAGTTGCTTGTTCTTTGAAGGTTCTGAAATTTGGCACTCTATTTTCTTGGCCTATGTTCTATGAAATTGCAATACCCGTCCTTCTAATGATGATTTAGCATGTTCATTTCTACTAGTATTTTCTCGTTTATGGTATATGCCTAAAATCTTGTCAAAATCAGCAATCAGTTATCTTGATAGAGATTTGTGTTCTTTGCTGAATTTCCTTCTGTTCAAGTCAGATTTATTTATTAGGAGATTCGTTTAATTGTTTTGTTGCATTTTTACTCAATCACAATCTTTTAGATGAAATCTTGAAATTGAGGCTCCTACATAGCCATGCCTTTCGGATGATCTGTTTATGTCGGAGTTGGATTTAAAGTATAGCTATTTTCAATATAGTATGCACGCATAATTTAATATGCTTAATTTATAAAACTCTAAATATTTGAAGGCGTGGTTAACCTATTTCTGGAGAAGAGCTTTATTTCATGGTGTGGATGAAGATATTGCAGAAGAGCAGCTTCAGTTTTGGATTGTCCGCAGTAGGCAGTCACCAACTTCACATGATGCTGTCGATGGTAAGCTCTTGTCATTCTTATCTTCTTTTGTGGTTCTGAGGAGAGTAAATATGTCATCAAGTTGTAAGTAATCAGTCTTGAAACTGTAGAGGGATTAGTATACCTGGTTTTTTAATTTTGTGCTGATTGGCAAAATTTTGCCAATGGAAGCTTCCGCCTTGGATTATAACACCTCCCAAGATTAGTATACCTGTTTGTTCTGGATAATAGGTCAATTGAAAAATCTTTGATCTTAGGTTCTCAAACTGGTAAGTAAGGGTAAGCTTCGGGATTATTAAAATCATATGATTCTCAATATTAGCAATATGAATCAAGGAGGGAATCAGAAATGATCCTAAATTGTAACAGAATTGATGGAAACAAATCTATTCTATCCATTCTGGACAAATTGTGCAATTCAGCAATACACACAAAGCTTTGTTTTTCAGCCTGGTCACGGCAGATCTGACCCAGATCTGCATGATCCAATTGATGAAAATTTTGTAATTTGGCTTTTTTATTTAAACAAGTGTCAACCTACATACAGGCTAAAAACAAAGCTTTATATCTTGGATCGGCTATTTTATTTTTATTTTTATTTTATTTTTTTGGGTTTTGGGGCTTTGATTGTGGTTTATATTTATGATACATATGATATTAATCTTGTTAGCCTTGATCTAAAATTAATAATTTGAGTATATTCCATATAATTTTTGTATATAAATCTTTTAGATTATGAAAACTAGGTACGCTTGACAAATCTGGTAGTCTAGGTCAGGCGTACACTTTTAAATTTTTGTTGTTAAACTTCCAAAATATTTGCTGTTTTATCCCAGTTCATAAGGAATGAGTAAAATTTGATGCTTCCGCTCATGCAAAAGTAACTCCCAAACAACCTCATTTTTAGGCTTGTTCTAAACTTTAAGTACTTACTAGGGAATCGCGAGATTCTTTTATAGTTCTATTGTTTGCTTTGGGCTAATGGCCCTCCTCTTTTACCGAAAAGAAAAATAAACTTTAAGTACTTATTAAGGTATTCAAATGATGATCTTTGGTTGTGTCTGGGTCTATATATATATATATATATATATATGACGGTTGTAGTGTAATTACACACACCTTTTATGGTATTGAGGGGAATATTGGGTAACACCGAAGTATTTGAGATTGTATGATATGACGTGGCTTGTACGGTAGCTTTACAGTGTCACTCATTCGTTCTATATTTCGCGAATTCCGTTCGTGACAAATAGCTTTGTTGTTGTATGTAACATGAATATACTGAGTGTTGGGATATAGCTACCAACAGAAAATGACACTGGTACTATCTGAATTTCATTAGTTAAAATCAATTAGGTATCATTTTGATTCCCATGTTGTCTTGGATTTCTTGAGAATCATGGGAATGAGACAATGAGTGATGCTGCTCACACATACAAAACAATAAAACAAAAAAGTCCCAACTGCTTGTACGTGCTGTCAAATTGTGGACTATTTGTAACATTCATCCAGCAGAGACAGTTGTCCTCTTTTATGTCTGATTTGGTCTGTGAGCAGCGTAAGACAGGTTTCTCCTACAAAATTTTCTGTGCTTGTTTCGTTTTTTCTTAACTGAATCTGCAACACTACCAATCTGCTGAAATTTAGAAAAAGGATAAATAACGTGTCATCTGTGATATTGGAGTGTAGTCTGTAATGTTAGGTAGACACATAGGAAAATTTGAAGAGAAAAGGGTTTTGTTATGTACTTAAATGTTTTAATTTTTTATTGCTTTTGATGTACTTTAACGTTTAGCATGTGAACTCTTAACTCTTAAGCTCCTTCTGCTTCCTTCTAGTTGAGCGAGGTTTGTTGGAGTTGAGGAAGCTGGGTATAGAACAACAACTTTGGGAAGCATCTCGGAAGGGAGTTGATCAGCCTCCAGGGTCAGCAGTTGCTAATCATAAGCCTGCCACTGACTCTGATGCCTCATCGTGATAGTACACTACGAGCCCTTAATATGTTGATTGATTCTTTGTCCTACATGTATATTTTTGTTTCATTTTCTACACAAGTTTTTATTTCTATACACCAAGCTTTCTACATTGTATTTGGGTCTAGTAGAAAGAAAGAATATTTATGTTGCAAGAGACACAGTGGGTTGTAATAATTAGTAACCAAGGTAAGACTGAATTTTTCCTCATTCTTTTAATGAAATTTTGTAATCTAAGAATCCGAGCTTGTTTGTTTGTTATCAATTGGAAATGCGGAAAATAACAGCCTTTTTTTAGTTGAATATTTTTTTTCTTGTGTTGTTCGTCTTATCTTGATAGAAAACTTGAAAAGCTTGCTTCCTTTGAAAAATAGAATATAAAGCTCTACGATTCAATTTGAATTGTTTAAGATGCAAGATCATGCTTTTAAGTATCACGCAGCATAAAGCACATAATTGTCCCCATTCCTGCATTGGAGTTCAATAAGGCCTAACGTCCTGGTGGTGTATCCCGGATCAAACATCTCTAGCAACTAGCGAAACAGTCAGAGGACTCCACATCTTGGAGGTAACAATATATCTTGTCCAAATTTACCCCAGTATTGAATTGCACAATATATCAGATTCCTCTAATTTAACCAAAAGAAGAAAAAAAATCATTTTCCTCTCCCATCCACTAATAATAGCAATAATAGTAACAGCACTAGTTTATAACATAACCCATTCAGGCCCATGCTTTAGCGGAAGATTATTTATGAGGAGCGTGCTTTTGCTTGCAGAAAACAGGATACTCTATAGTTGTTTACATATATTAAGGATTCTGAGAATATAGCTCAGATGCTGCTCTACTCACGCGGGGTTCCTGTTCAGCTTGGTGGATGCCAATAGTGGGTGTCTCGGTGGCACATAGCATCATTGAAAAAAAAATAAAAATAAAAAGCCTGCGTAATTTAATAGTAAAAGTATATGAGCTTTTTCTCCACTTGTGTTTTTTATGACTATCCTGCAAAGGACACAAGTTTTGAGGGAAAAGAACGTTAAAAATATATATATATATATTACTCAGCGAAAAGGTGCGCCTTTGCTCTACTTGCAAGGATTCAAAAGCAGAGTATAGGCTTCACTCGCACTCTTCCACACATTTTCCAACTCTGATGCCCAAAAGTCATCCTAACAACTTCTACATTGTTATAATATTCACTCATATATCCTTGTGACATTAATTTTCCTAAGCATTATAAGCACCTACTCTTCTTTTCCCTTTTTGTTTTGGAGTTGGGGTGGGTGTAGAACTCGCTTATGAGAGAGTCAATAGAATATTTTGACAATTATGGTATGAAAACCAAAAAAAACCAGTACCACTAGTGCTGGTAATGATGAACAATCTGAAATCTTTTGTAAAAGCTGTAAGGTAGGGACCATTTTCTTCTCCTTTACCAGTTCTTTAAGCTGCTGCATATATAACAGGAGCACAGAACCCACCATGTAAATCTCGATCAAATTTGTCATTTCATAGTTTGTTCTTCTTCTTTTTTACATTCATTATCTTGCATCTTTTGTCTCCCTTGTCTTAAGAGAAATAAAATAAAAACCTATCTACCTATGCAGCTAGAGTGATCAATTGACAAGGCTTTGCAGTAATTACACTCGAAATGTTTACCAAACCATAATCATCCATAAATTGCGCTAGCCATGAATATATAACACATCTTGAGTAGTTGAAATGGTGAATATAGGAAGGGCCCACAAGAAGCTAGCATGGAAAGTTTTGAAGCCACGATGGGGAACATGTGGCTCCGTGGAGGCTGGCATGTGAGTTTGTATTCAAAAAAGAAATATGGAGTTGATGGATGGAGGTGGAGGGTGTGGATTTGCTTTTGTATCAGTAGGACAAAAAGGTTTTGAAAAAAAGAATCAAGGTGTGTTACCTTGTGATTATACGAAATGCCTTTTCACAACTGGTCAAAGGGAACAAGTTCATTCCCACATAAGTACATAAAGATAAGTCTTTAACCACCATCAGGAAAAATAGTAGACTTTATAGGACTATAAGTTTATTTGGTTTCTACCTTCACTTAAAAATGTTTAGGTTTTTGGGTCTATTCAACAACATACTTATTATGGGCCCGAAATAAAATAAAGAGTTAGGATGTTTATACTATCATTTTTTTCTATTATCAATTTATTTCTGCTTTAATTAATGTTGGATCAAACTTTTCAAGGAACAATTTCTGAAAAGTTTACGAAGAGAGAGAAAAGAAAAGTTTAAAATTATAACTATGTCAGCTAAAAAGTTTAATTCAACGGTAATTAGAATGGTAGTAAATTGATAATAAAAAAAAGTGGTAGTATAAATATTTTACTTCTAAAATAAAAAGGGAAAGTATATACAATCATCACTCAAGTTCTTTTATTGAGTATTTTTTTAATGGTTAATGATACATTTGAGTGCACTTTAGATTTTCTAGCTTCTATGACAAGCCATAAATGTATTTAAAACTCAATGGTCATTGCAGAGAATTTTAGGATGGCTCTATTTTCCTTGGAATCTCCTTTCTGTAACCACTTATTTTGTCGATGTGCAAATCTTGCTTGTACTTGCTGATCTAGAAAAACTAATCAATCAAACTATATTTTATTTTATTTTTGGAAAACCAAAAAGGAACTGTGGATCTGTTTTACACCTTGCAAATCTGCAGCATCTCCCCAAGATGCTATTTTTTATTTTTATTTTAAAAAAAAAAATCCTGAAAATTACACATTTTCTTAGGAGTGAAAAGTAGCCCCTTAAAGCCATTATCCATGGAAGAGAGACACATGCCTGTTGATGTAGTCAAAAGAATACAAGTTTTTTTTTTTTTTTTTTCTCAAGTGCTAAAAGGATACAAGGTCTTTATTGTTAAGCATAAATAGAGAAAAAGAACAAAATGCATAGAAGATCTAAACACTATAATTTTTGTGAAGGAATATTTTATCAATAGCTAATTTCCTTTTCATAGCAGCAAACTCACACGCTGACTCAGCTTCAAGCATTCCAACTTCTTTATGCTAGAGGGTATAGACAAACCAAGCACACTGTGGTCATTACTCTGTCACATCTCTTTCAACACCATTTTCACAGGCCTGCAATCAAAAAGCTAAAATTGTAATGATAATTAGAATGGAATAGATAAATTCCAACCACCTTAGTGGCCCCACACTTAACCCCATGCTGTACAAAACAAGGTAACAAACAACACTTCAAATACAACATCTATAACTCTTTCTCTTTGTTCCAACTTTGCCTTAGTCCTCTTCTCTCCATTTGTGAAACCATGAACTGGCCAACATGGATGGTTTTGCTTCATCTTAGTTTTTCCTTGGAAGTTTTCTGTCTCTCTTCTAATGCAGATAGCATTGCTGCTCTTCCTGGGCAACCCTTCATAGGCTTTCAACAGTTCTCAGGATATGTCACTGTTGATGACAAGGAACACAAGTCTCTCTTTTACTATTTTGTTGAATCAGAAACTGATCCAGCTTCAAAGCCTCTTGTTCTCTGGCTCAATGGAGGTCTGCAATCTCTCACTTGCTTCAACTATGTTTAAGTAATGCTTCAAAATTTTGAAACTAAAATTTTTCAAGACTTTTGATTGAATAAGAATAGAAGTATTAAGCTAATTTTTTGTTTATATTCAGGACCTGGTTGTTCTTCTCTGGGAGTGGGTGCATTCTCTGAAAATGGACCCTTCAGACCAAATGGGGAATTTCTGATTAAAAATGAGTATAGTTGGAATAGAGGTACTCTATTGCTACATTCCATTCTATCATATGCCAGAATGGCCTTCATTCATTCTTCTACTGATTGAGTTACTTTTGTGTTGCAGAGGCAAACATGCTGTATTTGGAGACACCAATTGGAGTGGGGTTCTCTTATGCTAAAGGTAGCTCCTCCTATATGACAGTGAATGATGAGGCAACAGGTATCTTCAATTAATATGGATTACTTTAGAACCTTTTTGAATCTTTTGGGACAACAAAAAATTTCTCTTTAGTAAAGCTTCTTTAAATCCTATCTTCTGTGGGAAAAGGCACGTATCATATGTATACTGCTTAGGCTTTTAAAAAGTTGAGACAAAACAGTAATTAATGGTAAATGCCACACAACTTTTGTATTGCATTTTACATGATTATTCTTCATCTCTTTTTCTCTACGCAAGCATTTGAATGATATACTTTTGATTTTGGTATGATCACATTGTCCTTGAGTACTCTCAAATAGTCATTGTTTACATATTTTGTCATCTGAAGCATTGCTTTTGATTTCTTAAGCCAGGGACAATCTTGTATTCCTGCAACGCTGGTTCTATAAGTTTCCCCAATACAGGAACAGAGATTTGTTTCTTACAGGGGAAAGTTATGCAGGTAACTACGTGTCACCTTTGAATATTTCCATTTCAAAAGCAGGTTATAACAATCAGTACTATTATTTGTTCTTACCACATTTTTTTCTTTATGAAAAATATATATGTCAGGTCATTACGTTCCTCAACTTGCAAAGCTCATGATTGAAATGAACACAAAGAACAAGATATTCAATCTGAAAGGAATAGCCGTAAGTTATATTAACATTCACTATTCAGTAAGTTTTGTTTCTCACAAAATGCTATTTGCTGATGCAAAAATGGAATGGTCTATATTATATTGAATTGTAGATGGGTAATCCAGTTCTAGAATACGCCACTGACTTCAATTCAAGGGCTGAGTTCTTCTGGTCTCATGGACTAATATCAGATTCAACGTACAACATGTTCACCACAGTGTGTAATTATTCTCGGTATGTCAGTGAATATTATAGAGACTCAGTTTCGCCTCTTTGTTCAACGGTTATGGGCATAGTGACCAAAGAAACCAGTAAATTTGTGGACAAATATGATGTCACCCTTGATGTTTGCATTTCCTCAGTGCTATCACAATCCAAGGTTATTTGTCCTCAAACACAAGTGAGTCTTCTCTCGTGAACTTTCCCTTCTCGTGCTTTTCCATCACTTTATTTACAATTTTACTTCTCCTAACTTGTGTTTTCAAGTTTGGCTTGTTCATTAAAACTTTTGCCTTATATTTGCAGCAAGCAAATGAGATGATAGATGTGTGTGTAGATGACAAGGTTACAAACTACTTAAACCGGAGAGATGTACAAGAGGCACTTCATGCCAAGCTTGTTGGAGTTCGCAAGTGGGATGTATGCAGCAAGTGAGTCCTTCTTGTTACACTTAAATGCCTATCAAATTGCTTGGCTAGCCTATAATTGCTTTGCTTAATTGATCTTCAAAAAATTGAAAGATTAGTAATCAGAACCAGCTTAGTTTGTTTATGTTGATTTTAATTTAACCAAACCCTGTAATCACTGACCTGTGTTGTGTTATTAACAGCATCCTGGACTATGATATGCTCAACCTGGAATTGCCTACACTACCTATTGTTGGATCACTAATAAAAGCTGGAGTTCGGGTCTTAATTTATAGGTAACTAGAACCAAAAACTCTTTATTCTCCTTTATGATTTATTTGGTTGCTTGAACTTGAGGGCTCATACATATATTTTTTAGTGCTAATTAACAAATCATGTGTACTGTTCTTGCTACAGTGGAGATCAAGATTCAGTAATTCCACTGACTGGAAGCCGCACCTTAGTTCAAAAGTTGGCAAGAAAATTAGGACTGAATACAACAGTCCCTTACAGAGTGTGGTTTGAAGGCCAACAGGTACATATACTAATTAACATCTTTCTAGTGACTAGACTTTCCTTAAGGATGAATAATCCTCTCATCTTGGCTTTAACATAACCCAAATTGCATATACATCATAAACTAATCCCAGCTAATGAAACATAGGTTGGTGGGTGGACTCAAGTTTATGGCAATATCCTCTCATTTGCCACTGTTAGAGGTGCCTCCCATGAAGCTCCTTTCTCGCAGCCTGAAAGATCATTTGTGCTATTCAAGTCATTCTTGGAAGACAGGCCTTTACCTGAAATTTTCTGACACACCGTTTTGTGTTATCTGATTTAGTTGAGAATGTAAGTAAGCATTATCCTTTAATACCATATCATTAGTAAAGGAATGCATTAAGTGTGCAGAATGTCAAAAGAAAAGTTGGAAAACGTTTTTTTATTTTTTTTTTGGGGGTGGCGGGTTCAACCTTTGTACGTGAGTGTTTTGTGTGCTTGCTTACTTGTTCTTTGAGCTGCCAAATGTAATGGATCCTTGTGTTCAAGAGACTCTGTATATATTATGTCACCCAGAAACAGCAATCACATACTCAAACCAAATTATTATATGGATAATGGTTATGCTGTATGGATGCAGAGTTCATCAGCATTTTTCTCTTACTATGATCAATAGGAATATAACTCTCACCCACATCCGAAAAATTAGATTTTAAAGTACTTTTTACTGTTAAGTATTCTACAGGCTATCTATATCACGATCGTATTTGTGATCAGAGGATTTCCACACTTCCCGGGCTTTATAGTTGTTCTTATAGTGTCCAAGATCTCAACAATGGTGACACTAACTAGATTAACGGCATGATTTCTGCGATATATAAGGCCTAAGTTTATATTATACGTTATAATTTTTTTAATTATTTTATTTAATTATCGTATAATATAAGCTTATATAACAGAATTTCTTAATACATCAAAATGAAGTATAACTTAATCTAAGGAATGGGATTAGGCCTGATAAGAAATTGATATATTAATATCGCTGCTAAGTGCAATCCTCAAGAATTAATATATTAATATTTAAAATATTTTAAACACACTGATCAATCAATTTTTAAAAAAATAATATTATATGACATATTTGGAAGAATTATATAAATTCTTTATTAAAGGGTATTTTTATCAAAAAAAATTATTTTTATTCTATCTAGTATTATACAATCTATTACCAAACACTAGATGATATTATTTTATATAATATATTATCTTAGAGGAAGGTTACGTTTACAAGTTTTTTTATTTAGAACTCTTACAACCTCAACTATGTATTACAGGGAGTACAAATACTGAAAAGTGTATTCCCGGAAATACATAGTTGAGGTTGTAAGAGTTGTAAACAAAAATAGTTGTAAACATCATCCTTTTCATTATCTTATATAATATAATATCAAATGCTAAATAATATTAAAAATTAATTAAGTTTTATACAATCAAATCTTATATTATCACGTTTCATATTAGATATTATCTTAGTCTTACAACAAACATTGCCCAAGTATCTATGTGCTATCTGACGTTGGTTTTTTCCTCCATTTGCTATTATTGGCTGGGATGGGACCATAGATTGTTGTCAATGTATAATGTGTACTCTCAGGTTTTGAAAACCATGCTGTATCTCTTGGAAATTACATGTCATCAATGATAAACTAGGGATAATTCCCGGTTCTATTGAAGACTAAAGTGCTAATTCTTGGCCTAAAGGAGCATCTTTTTGTCCAGAAAGGCTGCTTCTGATCCCATTTGTCCTCTGTGCAAATACTCTCAAGAAAGGGTATAAAACATGCACAAAAGTTGTAACCCGAAAAAAAAGAAAGGTACAAAAGTAGTTTGATAATTTGGTTTACCAGTCCTTCATCGTACACAAGAGGCTAAAAGTAAGATGCCTCATTTTGATGAAAAGTAACATGCCTCGTTATGTATAGCTTACTACAAAGCACAAACTCTCTTTTTTTGGGTACTAAGCTCACTACAACTTTACTGCACCACACAAGACCCTTATGATTCATGGGTGGAACTTTTTCTAGGTTTTATTCAGTAGCTTTATCGGACAACGTTTGATACGAGAAATATTTTTTTTATTGAGAAAAAAGATTATTAGGAATTTGGTAGGAATTTTTTATCCCGGATAAGTTATAAAAATGTGTTTGGTTGGCTAAAATTTTGCAGGAAAAATTAAGTTAATTTTACTGATGCTATGTTTAGTTGATGATAAAATATTGATGGGAATGTTAATAAAATTATCAAAATACTCTTAATTTTTTGAATATGCCAAGTGAGTCATCATCAAAATATTACTTTTTTTTGGGAAAAAGTGAATCAAATATTACTTTTAAATAATCCAAGATCAAAGGAAAAAAAATACTAAAGGTTAAGTGGGAAAAAAATTTGCCTTTATATAGTTCAAAAGGTAAATACCGGGTAAAGAAATTTACTGATATTTTATTCACAATACATATACCAAACAAGATACATAAATATTCCTCACCTCACTCTCTCATCGTTCCGTACCAAATAATCATACCAAATTTGCAAATCTTACTCTTGAAGGACTTGGATTTTAGTTTTGTTGAAAATCTTATGTACCAGCAGATTGGGCGTCTTATCATAGATCACGTTGGACGGGCTATTATGTCCTAATTTTAATTTATTGTTTTCTTAATCAAAAGAAAACAAGAGTAAGAACTACCTTGCCTCACTTAGCAAATGAAAAAAATATTTCTACGATCACTTTAAATAAGGTTATTTATAATTATTCTTTATAACATGTATTATCGATAATACATAGTCATAATATTAAATTTGTTTTTTTTCTCTCTACACGTCAACAGAAAAAAAAACTTATATATCAATATTATAACTATATACTATCAGTAATATATAATTACAAAGGGTAGCTATTAATAAAATTATCTAAGTGACTTTAGAAATATTTACCCCGTATATATATATAGGGACAGGATATTCTTACACCGGTGTAAGAGTTAGAAGTCTTACACTTAATCTTGACCATTGATCCATTTGTATCCAATGACTCACATTACTAAAAAATTTGAGCCTTTAGATATAAGTGAGATTAACGGACAAGATTAAGAGTATAACTTACACTAGTGTAAAATGATCTTGACCCATATCTATATACATGTCTCCCTCATTAATTAATTTTTAATTTCCAATAAATCTCAACTGTTAGATGCATGGAAATCAACGGTTAAGATTTGGTGTAAGATTTATTATTCTTACACTGGTGTAAGTTGATCCTATCCCATATATATATATATATATATGAGATAAGATCTTTTGACACCGGTATCAAATTTTGAAATTTGACACCAAATCTTAACCATTGATTTTCGTCAATCAATGGTTATCATTTAGTGGGAATTAATCGTCAATCAAATTCATTAATTAATTATTAATTTCCAATAAATGATAAACGTTGATTGACAGAAATCAACGGTTAGGATTTAGTGTCAAATTTCAAAGTTTGACATTGGTGTCAAATAATCTTGTCCCATACATATATATATACATATATATATATATGGGGAAGGATCTGTTTACAAATTTTTTTGAATTTTTTTTACAAATTACATTATGTTCTCCCGGGAGAACATAGTGTAACTAGTGTTCTCCCATGAGAACATAGTGTAGTTTGTAAGAGTTTGTAAATAAAAAAATTTGTAAATATAATCTGCCCCTATATATATATATATATATATATATATATATATATATATATATATATATATATATATATATATATATATATATATATATATATATATTATGTGCCTGATTATTCTTATAACGATATTAAATTAAAAAGTCTTGTACCCAATTTTATTTATTGCATTTTATAACTCAAATATCTAATAAATCATAAATTTTAAATATAAATTGAATCACCTGTCATTAATTATTAAAAGTATAACTTATAATTATATAAAATGATTACCACCAAGATTAAGGTCGGCAACTATTTACCTTCTCAACTCCAGCTTGTAACACTAAGAGAAGGTCGTTGCTTTGCTTCTTCCCCTCTCTACCCTCAAATGAAGCAAACCCAAAAGGAAATCTCATTCAACCTCAAAACAGAGACAATGTGCAAATCACAAAATAAGCCATAAATGGAATCAAATCACCCCTAAAACTTCCCAAACCACAACGCAAAGCGCTGAGAGCTAGTGCACCCAAAACCAAAGTGACTATGGTTTCACAATTTTTGTTTGCTTTGTAAATAACAACCATCATCTCAAATCATGTGCTCTACGAGATTCCCTTAGCAATCCCAAAAATGCACCAATAACAATCATTCAAACTAATGTTATTAAACCATGTTCAAACTAGATCGACTCAAAATCCAGTGAACCGATCATCTAACTGGTAGACCGGGTAAAAATCAGTTCGTCGACTTGTTTATGTCAAAACCGATGACCCAATCGGTTTACAAAAAGTCCGACAGGTCATGCATTTAAAAAAAAAAATCATAACTTCTCGCAAAACTTTTATTCACTAGTGGTACTCCTCCTAAAAGGCCAAATCCTTTCTCCCAAATGACCAAATCCATTTTAATTTGTTTGTATTCTCTTGATTGCAACAATAGTTAATATTGTAGACTTGTGGTATGTAATATTCAAATTCAAAAATATATATATATATATATATATATATATATATAATGTGACGCCATTAGCGCCAACAATGGCGCCAGTAGCGCCAAGAGCACCAAGAAGAAGAAGAAAAAATATGACGCCAGTAGCGCCAAAATGGCGCCTTTGCCGCCAAGAGTATCAAGAGTGGCGCCATTTGCGCCAATTCTCACGCGAAGAGCGTGGATATGTATCAAACGCCATTTGCGCCAACTTTTGCGCAAAAAGTTTGGACGTGTATATATATATATGTTTACGTATATAAAATAAATAATGATAATAAATTGAAAATAAAGACACTACGTGGTAGCACCCCATATCTCCAGCACAATGAAAGTAGAAGATTCATTTAACTAACAATCATTACATGATGTGGATTTTTTTTAGAAAAAGCAGAAGATTACGTAATATAAGTTACGTAACCTATAAACGTAATACATTCTTCTCCATATAAATACATCCTTGCATGAAACGAAAGAAAGGAAATCAAAGACGGAGAATAGGAAAGAACAGAAGAAAATTTTAAGAGAGAAAACAAGAGGATTTGGGAGAAGAAAGGAAAAACAGAATCAAGAGAAGGTAATGTTGGGTTATGACAAAAGTTCTCTCACTT